CCCCAAAACCCCAAAACCCCAAAACCCCAAAACCCCGAATGGCTTTATTAGAACTGAACTATATTTTTAAGTATTTTAAGAAATTAAGCTTTCTGTAGGAATAGCTATCCTCGATGACTGCTTTGCTAGTATTGTTTAGCTCAATGTACTTTCTATGGGGGTTACTCATTCTATAGAGATTAAACTTAACTTACGTCACCGAGCCCTCTAAGCCAGGATAAGAGATATCCGTATTTTTGGGAGTCTCTTTGAGATTTTTCATTAAACTTCTTCTAGTAGTGTTCTTTGTAGATCCAACTTTGATAGATTTGATGATCAGAGAATTAGCTATTTTCTCTTTTCTATTCCGTCCTCCAACTTTCGCACTTTTGAGACGCTTACTCTTAGCGACATAACTTCTGTGAGGATGGGTTCTTTCTCTAGACTGAATGACTCTGTTGCCAAAAACTTTGTTAAAGTGTCTATTATTAGTGACTTCGTAATTATTATGAGCCATCTTTGGCCTAATAACTAAGTTAACTGTGTCTTTTTCTATGGATTTTGGATGAGAGATTATTTTTCTTTTCTGAGAATCTCCCCTTCTGATCAAATTAAGATGGTTTAACCTAATGTCCTAGATATGAATATTTTAAAAGTACATTGTATTTGCTCAGGCTCACTTTGTGCTTTTCTCTAGTTTTTGAGAATAATATTTTGCCTTTAGATCTGCAATTAGAGATAATTGATTCATTCTTAGACATGCTGTTATGTTTATTTGCTGATACATGAGCTTCTGTCATAATCATCTTCCTTCTCTTTAATAGCATTTGGACTAAGCTCGCTACTTTTCTCACTATTATCTATTTTGGGCTCCATTTTACCAATTTCATTCCCGTAGGAGTATTCGTTGGAGTCTTTGGTCTTCATTTTTAGATCGGATTCACGAGAATTAGCACTTCCACCTCTAATCCTATACAGCTTTTTTACGTTTGCAATAAGAATTTTGGATGATTTATGATCGATGTCTCTATTTTGCCTGTAAGAGTCATCAAGAGCGTTGCTGTTATTTTCCCTGATATTTGGAGATTGACTTCTTTCCTTTTCAAAAGAGTCAGCATTCTTGGTTCTTCAGGCCCCATCACGAGTTCTTTTGTCAGACTCAACGATAATTGCTGAATATGTGTCATTACTGTTATTGAGGTTATTATTTTCAATCTTAAGGTCAATCTTTTTGAACTTCTCAATAGAGGTATCCTCAATCTGATGTTCTCTCTGTTTTTCAGTTGTTATACGTTCAAAGTTCTCAATATACTTTTTGATGTTCTGGCCAACAATTTTAATACCATCTTTAGGCTCTTCTCTTTCAAAAAATCGTTCGTAGAAGCTTTTCTTGGTAAGGTATAAATTTTCATTGAAAGTTGCCATCTTAGTCTCGAGGATCGGGTTATAGAAAGTGCGGAACCCTTCCTCACCAATTGAGGGAAACTGAATTCTGTTTTGTTTTGCAGTTTGGACTCTTCTAGTACCATTATTACTGTTTATGCACTTTTCATAATCTATATGTGACCATCTGGGAATTACCAAATAAATCTTGCTCAAAGTTATTCGTAAAATTTTGTATCTTTTGAAAATCATTGATGCTGTTAGTTCTAGGAGGCTGATTAGGCTCAGAATGCTTCTTTTTGATCTTTTTAACTACCATTTTCATTTTGTTTGCAGTTTTATGAACTTCATCTTTTTCTTCCTCATCAAAGGTGTCATTTGGCATAGCAATTTCAGGATTTGGAGTGACAGAGAGCTTCTTCCGATGAAAGCAGATTTGTAAATTTGACTTTTGTTTCATCTTTTTGGCATTCACACTTTGGCGAGAATGGTTTACAATCCTTTTGAGCTCATCTAGTTTATTTGTCCTTTGGAGTAGTGTCCATTCATGAACTGCCAGGGTCTTTGATCGTTGAAAGATTTGACTTATTTTAAGGCACTTTTATACCGATTCTGTTTGTTCAGATGAGCTGAAGAATATCCAGAAGGCTCACACAGCTTCTCATTTGAGTGTTCATCTTTTCTTGAAGAACTACTATTTTCAACTATTTGTAAAGCATTGCTGAGCAAGACCAAGTTCGAGGGAGGATCTACCTCACGTTGAGCTATTTGAGTGATACTGTCTTTCTTTTGGGCAAATTTCTAGAGGTTTTAAGAGAAATTTACAGGGTTTTTGTAGTCGTTGACTACCAATTTATTCACATTTAATACATCATTTAGCCTATCTGCGCTGTTAGCGGTGCTATTTTTGTTAACCAATCTCTTTTTGGCAGATCTTGATATTTGGAGATTTCCCTATAAAAATTGACTAAGTTTGGAACATATTTCAATTTTTATGGTAAAATGGATAATTAGTAACAATAAATTGTTCAGCTTAGAGGAGTTAGGCTATATTCATAATTTTTATCCCACAAGGGATGATTATTGCTCGAGAAATATTTCTTTAGGTGCTCATCGACACTTTATGTAAATAATTTAAAATCCATTAGCCAAATATATCTTACTGTGTACTTTCTATTTCTCCTCTTATGAATTGTCTGCAGATCTTGAAGATGTTCATCCTGATCAGACTTAGTATTCTTTGTTCCAAAGGTGTTTAAAATCTCTATGTTTCTGAAAGATCTGGGGGGTCTTTCATTTTGCTGAAAGATGTCATCCTTAAATATTTTAAAAATCCCCTCTAAAATTATTAGTCAAGAGAAAGTACCTTCTTGGCTAGGAGAAGGTAGCTCTTGGCTGAGTCTCTTTTGGCTCATAGCATATTCCTTAGTCGTGTTCTTGATCACTTTTCCTTTGCTTTTCTGGTAAAGGGCTAATCTGGGTTCCTTTTGGAGTATTTCTAATTCATTTTTGAATTCAAAATTTCTGTTTTTATAAAGTAATACTTACTCTGAAAGTTCATCATTATAATCTTGATCCTCAGAGGGAATTATTTGATCTCCATTGTCAACTTCAATTTCGTTTGTGTTGAATTGAATGTTCCTTATTTTATTTTGAGGAAAAGTGACCTGAGCCAGGTGCTCTGATTTGACTAAACATGAGTAAGCCAATTTTACCTAAGACTGAGCTTAGCTTTGCGTCGTTTTCAAAGGGGCTCCTCATTCCAGAGGTTGGGTTGAGTATGCTAGAGTCTTCCTCTACACAATTACGGCTATCTTTACCAGGAATATTATTTGCACTGACCATTTACTGATTTATCATCAATGATAGGGGTATAAGGCATCATGGCTTTTGAATTTGGAGAGGGTCTAATTCAGGATTTATTTGAAATAAAATTCTAAATTTTTAAACTAAAAGCCATACATTTGTTAGTACCTTGATCTTTTACGACCAGCTCTTGGCTGAGTGGAAGGTCTCCTGACAGGTTATGACTAAAATTTACTTCTTTTTATCAGCTTTGAATGAAGTATCAATGTTGATACTTTTGATGTTAAGAGATTTATTTGAGTCTTTTTGAGGCTTTACCTGATTTTAGCCGTACTGAAATCAATTTTTGCCTATTTCTAAGTGAAATGTTGGTACTTTTTATGGTTAGTGGTTGCTGCGATTGAGAAAGGAGCTGATTCAGGCTCATTAGAAGTGTATGTCCCTGTAGTCTTTTCAAATGTCTTGTTAACCGAGTCCATTGGAGTTTTTAAATATTTTTGAATGCCTGACAAGAATTTAAGGGGAGAATTACTTGAAATCTGGATCCGCTGATAGCTATCATCAAGGTTCTGAGCCACGTTGGATAAGCTGAGCTGAGGAGAATAGCTCCAAGGATTATTCATATTATATAATTTTCAAAAATATGATAGCTAAATGGGGTTTTGGGGTTTTGGGGTTTTGGGGTTTTGGGGTTTTGGGG